TATATATATATATATATACACACACACACACACACATTCACATTTATATATACATATATAAATGAGCGATTGTGCAGTTGTACTGTGAGTATAAGATATATTTCACATTTCGCAAAATAAATTTTGGAAGTTGTATTTACAATCTTAACTGAGAACAGTATTATTTACTTTACTATAAGGTAATAATAATTATTTGAATGGATTTACTATTATTATAATGTACTTTTTATAAATGTAGTATACTTTTTATTTTATATCTCCGGTATTTTTACTTTTAGATAAGTTCGTCATAAATTTGGAAAAAATAGCCAGAGAGTTTTTACTAGCTTCTGGTAAGATAAAAATTATTTATTCTTCTCCGCAATGATAAATCTACAGAAAATTTAAATAAATATCGACATTTTTGAACGTCAGGCGGAATTTTATGTTTAATAATAATAATTTTTTGGTGGATTTTATAAATATTTGATCACCATGAATTTGAATCAGTGATATTTATTGCAAAGTTGCATAATTTTTTATTATTTATGTATAAGTATTTGAGCAGAGAGAAACTGAATCTTGTTTTTCAGTGTGCACGAACCCTAAGTATGCTCCAGAGACCTCATGCGAGATACCACGGGGTGGTCGCAATACGCGAACGTTACGAAGATACGGGACGATGAAAAATATCTGGTATCTCGAGCCAAGATCCTTCGAACAATGGGATATCTTCGGGACCGAGTCGACCACGGTGGACAATTATTATCCCGATTGCCGGAAGATAATACTTCATCGGCGATAAAATAATGAAATAAAAATTTTCTGTCGATCGAATGAAAACACGCAAAAAAAATTCCTCGGTAATGGCTTAACAGCAGTCTATTATTTTCATCTCCTGCATAAAACAAAAAATTAACTTGCTTGTATCGAAGAATTGACTTGTTATATAAATTAAATATAAACTTACTTAAACTTGATAAACTTGAAAATACATGATATAACGTAATTATATAATTTTCTTCTTTTTATTATTACTTTACGAAATTATTCGAAAAAGTCAAAATAATATTAATTTCAAAACATTACCTCTCAATTTAATATTAGAAGGACCAAATCAATTTGAATCCTCGTGAAATTCAAACCTATAACTTTGCTTCCACATGATATCTTTTTGTAACTTTTCATCATTTTTCATGTTCTTAATTATAGAAAAAACTTTTTCAATTATACATATAAAATGGTGGAATTTTCATTTCATTTTATTTAAAAAAAAAAAGAAAACATCAAATCTTTATGGTCAAATATATCGATTATTGTAACAAATTTGTTTAATTTGATTTAATGTATGGAATCATGTCGTAATTATGTCGTTGCTAAACAAGGGAAATGAATAATTGAATGAATTCCACGGCGAAAAAGTGAACCGCCACTGGTGCGCGTCTGCAGTCAGATACTCTCACGGGGTAGCGTAAGTGCCATTGCACTTTCGCGGTCTTGCTTCTTTCTTTTCTGACGTAAATCCTGCTCCCTTTTTTCCCTCGCCCATGTTTCCTCCTTTCTCTTTTTCTCGCGGCTGAACGATGTGGACAAATTGGTCGGACGAACGTCACCAGACCTTCCCGGCATTTTTGTATCTGCCACCCTCTACGTTTCCCACACGATCTTCTCCCTCTTCGCACATTCATACTCGGAGATGCGCAAAACCTCTTTCCAAGACTCTTTTTGGTGAATGCGCGCTTTCTCCGTTGAGTTCCGTCACACGGCGATGACGCAAATACTAACACGCAGACGCATTTGATGTCGTCGTCATTCGAATAGAACTACATCTGATTGCATGTAAATATACATCGAGAGAAAAAAATGATTGCAATTATCATAATTTTAACTATATTTTATACTTATTTATTATACTTATTTATTATACTTATTTTTGATACAACTATATATATTTGTAATTATTTTAACTATGCAAGTATAATCAATTGTGCTATTAAAAATAATTATACACGTTGCTTGAAAATCTTTTTTAACATATTTTTTAGTTATTATTACAATATAAATAATAAGTGAATTTAGAAAAAAATTATATTGACTGTAATTGTGAATTGCATTTACTAAATAAAAAATGTTCGTTTACTATTTGAATTTTATATTTTACTAATATTTGAAATTATCATAATTTATAGTACGGTTCTTTCATATTTGAAAGAACTATAGGTACATTATTATTATTACTATAAACATTAAAGCAGTAATAATCACAAAAATGGAACTCCTAATTAGTATTAATAATTAGTATTAATAATTTGCCAATGTAATAAACACTTGTGTGTGTATGTGTGTGTGTGTGTGTGTGTGTGTGTGTGTGTGTGTGTGCGTGCGTGCGTGCGTGCGTGTCAGTATAACATGTAATGTATCAAGTTACATGCATTAGTTTAAACAAAGAGGATCGCAAATAATGTAATGTAAATCACATTTAAATATATGATCTTTATACAGATACTTTGCAGTTTGAAATTAAAAATACATATCTATTTGCGTGCCACTTAAAGAAAGATATGTACAACATTAAGATACCGAATAAAAAAATAGATTATCTATTATTGTGTTGTTACAAACGAAAATCAAAACAATAATGAACTTGCTTAATAGTCTATGTGGAAAAGTTGTAATTGAAATTTGTTTTTTCAGAAATGATTCCGATTCGTAACCGGATATGGCACTTTCGCAATGAGGAAAAATCGATCATATAAAGCATTTACTAAACTAGTCAAGCCTATCGATAACGAACACCTGTGTGCTTGCGGTCAATAATGATCACAGTAACTGAACAGTTTGAGATAAAAAGATTTAAATGTCTTGCATGAATAATATATGGGAATATCTTTATTTATTTTTTAAATATAAGATAAATGTTTATATATTTTAGCAAAACGAGATCATGGCTTGCAAATTCAAAAATAACTTTGTCTAGGTCCTTTCTGGCGATTACAATCGATTGTATACGGGAAATTCTGAGATATTATGACGTCATTCTCACGGTCTATGATAGGAGGAAGAAAAGAGATAATAAGAGGGTGATCAAGTTATGGATTTCTGAGAAATTACAGTGCCGGTTGTTTCGTAAGTTTCATCGTAAATAAAAATTTGAAAATGGACTTTGTCATACAGCTTTTCATCATAATTCGCTTTCTCCTCAGATATATTTTTTCTCAGAAATTTAAATTCTATATAAATAGAAAAAATTTGATTGGTGGAAATTTTTTCTTAAAATGTGATATATTCATGTATAATGAAAATCTTTTTTCATGACAAATACAAAAGATGAACTGCGCGAAGAAGCTAAAGATAACAAAAATTTAGTGAAACATATGATACATCTTTAGCAAAAATAAAAATTAGAGCGTAAGTCGAATACATAAGAGAGAGAGTAATACACACAAGAGTAAACAAAACTTCTAGGAGACGAAAATTGAAAAAACGAAACGTTTTTACATTTCGTTATTTCAATTTTCACTTCTTAGAAGCTTCGATCCTTTACGTCTAATTTTGTTACTCTGCCATTACAGTGGATTCATACTCTGATTTTTATTTTCATCAAGGATGTAAATATAGCAACGACCTAACTATAAATTCATTATCTTTTTCAGAGAAACGTGTAAAAAGCGCGTTGCGAAACATTTTCCCGGTAAAGATACGAATATAACACTCAACTTTATATAGCAATAATAATTCTATTAATGACAGATTTCGCCGCGCTTTACGGCACGTCTTTCATTGACGTGCATCTCAAAGATTTAATAAAGATTTAATGCCGCGCAGGACGAAAGGCGTTCAAATCGATGATCTCTATACAGTACAGTAGCCATACTTTCTTAGAGAAAATAAAGAACAAAGGATTTTAGGAAAAACAATTTAGGATTTTAAATATTTCCAAACTAATTTGTGATTTCTCAGAAGTTTGTGTGTTAATTTAAAAAAATTTTCTTGTGCAGTATGTCTGAGATAACTCCTAAACAAAATACAAGTTATCATAACATTAAATATCATAACTACAAATTTAATTGTTAAATATCACTTTTCAATCAATCACTATTTATTTTGACGTCATTTTGATGTTACTGACTTTGTTATTCTACTTTGGACAAATATATAGCTCTTGCATACAAAAATTAAATTTATTGATAATTTTTTCGTAAAAGTTCGCTCTAGCAATTTTAGTAGGTACATTAGACATTATAATGCTACATAATTAGAAAGGGAAATTTCCCATAATATTATTAAAATAAAGGACAAAATTAAGTTTTGAAAAAATAAATAAATCTAAAGGATAGCTACCTGAAATGAAGGACTGTTCTTTACAATAAAGGATGTATGGTCACTTTATCGATTAGGAATCTTCAAAGGACGTTTTTATGCAAGCGGTAGATCGCGCAGATCCGGAAAACGCCTGTCCTGGAATTCGTTTCACAATACGAGCGACATGCAACGCGCGCCTCGCCATCGCCGAACCGTCCCGCGAACGGACAGATACACAAAGGGCTATTGTACCGATCTTTTTCTTTATATCTTTTTTTCTCCTTTTATCCCGTAAACCGTGTCGCGGATCTAATCGCCCACGCGAATGCCTGCGCGTTCTCGCGAATCGCTTGCCGAGTCGAGCCGAATCGAGCCGAGCCGAGCCGTGCCGGGAGTCCGATTTCAAGGAGCGCGTTACGCACATGCGAGTTATTTACTGTTATATCAAGGTTGAGCGCGGGATATCTGACAGTAAAAACGTAAGCAGTAAGACGTAAGTAGTAAGCGAATCGACCAATCACAGTAGAGAACTACTTTATACATTTCTCTGTGATTCGCTGATTCGCTTATTACTTCAATCTTATTGCCTTACATCTTTTTATGTGTTTCTAGCTTAACGCCCTAGACACTCCGGTTTTTAATTATAATAGGTGCTCTTACACAGTATATTTATAAGAATGCATTTTTTTCTCGTTTAAGAATCGCATATCTCGTTTCTTTTCTAACTCCGATCGATAAAAAGCTGGAGCATTGTGCGCCCTATGTTATATA